GTACAGGGCCCACTCGAGCTTTGCCTTACCCTCCTTCCGGTACTACAGCGCGCTTCGTTTGACGCTTGGTTGTTGAGTGGCAGCTGGCTGTCGACAGAACCCTATTCTCCGTTTATTGGTATCGAACGGAAAACGATGGACCTAAAGACTCATGACTGATGCGGATTCATAAGCTTTATAAAGGTTCATGAAGATGCAGTGCGCTTTGGTCCTCGGTTGCTGACAGTGGTAGATAAAAGCCGACGAAACTGGACCCTTTTCTGATAGCCAGCAAAATGCGATGGACCTACAAGTGCCTGACACCCATACATACATGTACTACATACATGCATCTTATAAACACGCTAGGGAATATGATACAGAAAGGCATTTTAGGACCATTAATACGCGCCCGGGTGACCGGCTAGATACCCTTCGCTCGGGTGGGGCGGGGTCAATTTGATCCTCTGAGATTTCAGGAACTAAGATAGCTAGATACACCAAATTCACAGGGTGTCTTGACCGTTACGTGGACTCACTTGGATCAGAGTTTAAGCTTCCTAGGTCATGACCTTCAGATTAAAGAAGGTCATACAAGGTCAAATTCCAGGTTGGTTTCCAAAGTGCCCCAGAACCTAGGCAACTGCCTGTAAGTAAAAGGTCACAAGCCTATTTGAGGTCAGTGACCTTGTTTGGCCTTTTGAAGGTCATAATGACCAAAATCATACAAGACTGCTCTGGGTTTTGCATTTGAATAAGCGACAAAGATTACACTAGGCAGTATGTTCCCAAAACAAAATGTCGATCCGGGCCATCTCATGTCAATGACCTTTTCTGAACTCTGAGAAATCAATGGAAGATGTATGATGTGGTTCCTGCTGTCAATAAATTCGCAATGAGCACCGCAAACTATCCCATACGCCAAGCTGTAGAGTAATAAATCAGGTTGGTTTTGACCTTGGTTTGGCCTCCAAACCTGACCTCAGGTCAACGTGATTTGCTCCTTCAATATTTTTGGTGCTTAAGAAAGCATCTCAGAGATGTATGGTCCCGTCAAAAGCTCCGTTTTTTTATCAGATTGGACGATTCCGTAAAAATTGCCTTCACTGAAGTCATGGTCTGACTTTGACCTGCCATACTTCAGCGATCTTTTAAGGTAAATCTAGATGTTTTATGTCAAACCATCTGCTATTGAATTATCTACAGCTATACAAAATTTGGCGTGGCTGCGCCACGCCGTTCGGAAAGCATCCTGGAAAACCTTCGGGGGGGGGGGCAATTTGACCCCCACCCGAGCGCGTGTTAAGGCATGCATTGATAATAACCATGCCTAAAGCACTGATCCCGCCAACGAAATGGAACGCTTCAGAACCAATATATTACTTTGCTTCGACTCACCTGTGCCATGCGACATCTTGACACGACAGTCTTCAGCCTAATCTACATCATGCTTACCACTCCCCAGCTGGATGTCTGTCTAGGCAGGCAATCGTTTTACGAGCGTTTGTTCCGGTACGCAAACCCGCTGAGCTGTTAGCCACTGAAGAACGCACTATTTGACCTCCGGCATTTCTTCGCATAGTAATTGTGATTCGGAACCTGAATTATCTATATTAATTTGCTTTTTAAGGTAGGAGATGGTTTTCATCAAAATCTGAGCCTCTGATGTCCATAATCCAAATCGATTACAAAAATTAAATGTTATATACATATTGTGTGAGAAAAAAGCGCACCACAAGCGTGGTCGGGCTGCAAATTGGCGGCATCAGGAGTCGTGGCACAACGTGATCTGTATACTATGACACTCGGCATGAACTACGCTGGCGAATTGCATTGGTGGGGTAAATTTATCCCATTTCTTTTGGGACATCAAACAAAGGTGTTCTGCTGCATGCATCCGGATCCCAAAGTCCTTCAGCGCACCGACGTTGTCAGAATAAAACATTTTGCGCGGTCATCAAGCGATAGGCTGGCTCTGTACCACACAGTTCGTTCCACATATAGCGAACATTTTCTTCTTGAATGATTCCGTACTGCTCTGAAGTGCCAAGCCAGAGTTGTATGTTGTGGGAATATCGTCTCATATCACTCCATCTCGGAAATTTCAGACATGTTAGTCGAGCAAATCTTTGCGAGCACTCGGCGTGCCAAATACTGGCTGTGCTGCGTTACGTAGTTTTTTTTTTAATGAATTTGGTGCAAATTTTGCCAGACAGGCCAAGCCACCGGACACGTTTTAAGGTTGCCGAACAAACGCTATGGTTCACGCCATAGCTTTGAAAATGGAACTCTACTTTGTTATAGGCAAGACATAATCGCGGACTATCTGTAGTCAAACTACAAGGTCCACTCTTGCGTAAATGCTTGGCTTGAATTTAAGAAAACTTATGTGTCCTGCAAGGATTTTTCATTGTTTTGGGTGCGCAAGCTAAACACCAGCTAGGTGGCGTTAGATGCGCCAGTAAGCCCAGTACCTCACTGTAAAAGTACTGCGATATGTCCGTTTCAAACTGGTTGTGCTGAAAAGCTGCTCTTCCAGATATGAAAATCTCTCCTTGCTAAGGAGTGATGGCATGCCTGTTCAATGCACTGTCAGTAATCAGGGTTCCTGTCACCGAAAGCAAATTTGAGTATGCAGGCGATTCCCCTTTCATGACTGTTTGTCTGTGTATCTTTGCTGCAACGATCCCAGCTAACAGCTCTCGCCGTAAGTAGCCACCGAGTTCGGAAGACAGCTTAACAGTTATACCCATCCCAAAGATCTCCAATGCAGGCGCTGGCATGCTGACGGCCGGCTATGTCAGGAGTATGAGCTCGTCCGGTTTCTGCTGTTCCATGCGGTGCTCGTGTGTATTTGCGGCGACTTGGGTACAATATTGCGGGGCTGAACCATAAATTATGAAAGGCGGGGGGAGAGGCTACTTCAGAGCAATGCAGCTCCACCCACGTGGTCAGAGTGTTGCAAGAACCGAAGCAGTAGGTAAAAACCTTGGATACCAAAATCATGCCTGCAGAACATGCTATCGAATTCCTGGAAGGAATGTCGCAGTGAGTGGGAACACAACTGTGTACATTTACTTCAATGTTGCTATGCTTGCAGCTATCTGTCCACATTTACGCATGCGGGCACTGCGCCCGGTGTACCGTGGTCCCAGCCTGCCCGATCCCCTGCGCCACTCGCACGTGCCACAGTGGCACTGCGCCCGGTGTACCGTGGTCCCAGCCTGCCCGATCCCTTTCGCCACTCGCGGCGTTTCGCACGTGCGACGGTGGCACTGCGCCAGCCGCGGAACGCGCCCACCTGAGGAGGTGCCAAAAATAACCCGCGCCTGTCGGCTCCGGGCCAGGTAGTTTGCATCTCCAGACGTCTCCCGAAATAGTGCGGACCCGCCAGGAAGCTACTGGAGCGCCGAGGCGGCGGCTGGTCGACGGACAACTGAGCCATCCCCGCACCGGCGACGGCTGAGCCATCTCTGCGCCGGCGACGACGGCTGAGCCATCCCTGCGCCGGTGACGACGGCTGAGCCATCCCGCCGGTGACGACGGCTGAGCCAACCCCGCGCCGGCGACGACTGCGGAACGGCGACACTGCTGGCGTGAGTGGCCTCTGCCGATCGGCCCACACACGCCACACAGCGGCTAGATCTGCCAGGAAGCCGAGACGTCTGAAAAGCGCCGCTGCGCAGGTATGTCCTTGTGTGTGCAGCGTTATGAACATGCCATGATTGTGTCAGCCACAGCTGCTTCATCCCACGGCGGCCTGACAAGTGGAACAACATTGCAAAAGAACGATACCCATCTGATGCATCTGTTACGATGTTAGTGCTAGGTCAGACAGTATCGTATCTGCGTGAATTATGTAGCTGCTGCTGTTATACCACCCTCGTGTTGCCTCCATGGAAGCATTCCGAGCTGGCTGGAAACCCATGCTTCTGGAGCAGCCTATGTTCTCAGCAATTTTCATATCCGTTTTCCAGATCGCCAGCTCAACAAAGTGGTTTATTTGCGTGGAGTGATTCACGAGATAACTAAGTTGGAGAGTCATGATCAAAATTCCCCCTAGATATAGCTTAAATCACAGAGAGAGAGGAGAGAGAGAGATAGCGAGAGAGATAGATAGAGAGAGACGCGATACAGAGAGAGAGAGATAGATAAGAGAGAGAGAGAGAGAGA